GGGTGACACTTGCAGGGTGGGCCATGGCGTTGTGCACACAGCAGCACTAGGGCAGATCAGGGTTTGGGACTCGTCCCTGCGGTGACGTCCGCAGCGGCTCTGGAGGTGGCTGCCCTCGCTGCGGGGGACGTCAGAGCCGACTGCCTGAAACCAAAGTAACCCGTGTGGGTGTCTGGCTCGCGGTTGTTGTCCAGCGTTAGCAGCTGATCACAGTTGTTTAACAGCTCTGCTGGCCGAGGCAGTTTGCAGTCGCTGCAGCGGTTTACGCAGCAGCTCGTGAGGGGCTCCTGCTGCCCTTCCACCCCGTGAATCCTCAGTGCTGCCGCGGGCGACGCGCGGCTCCGGCAGCCGCGTGGCCCCTGCCCTGTGCCCAGAGGGAAGGGGCTGGTGCCAAAGCGAGCGGAGCTGGCGCTGCTCTTAGCAGTGTGGAGCTGCTGGTTTGCAATGAGCTGGTTAGTGCTCTGCAGGGCGCGTGCCAGGGCTGCCTCATGAGCGGGACGCGGGAGCGGAGTGAAACCAGAGCTCTGTTCCGCGGGTTTACCCATCCCTCCTGCAGCTCCGTTCTCCTGGCTGGAAGCAGCGACGCTTCCTGCCTTCAGGTCCCCTCCGTACGCGGGGGAAGCGGGACCTGCGCGAGCTGCTGCTCGGGAATTGCATCCGGATGCTCCCGCGCGATCGTGGGGGCCACGTGGGAGCGCTCTGGAAACGCGGATCCGCTGAGAAGGCGCGTGAGGCTGACGGAGCAGGAGGTTGTGATCTGGAATGGGCTCCTAGTAGGAGAGCTGTGACATTTAAAAAGTTCAATGGTACTAGCTCTTAATGGAGATTCAAAGCTGCAAGGGTTGTATTTCTTAAGTTTTAGGAGTTTTAGTCCAAAGAGAAGTTCCACCTTGCACGCTGAGCGCCCAGGTACCTGTGCACAGTGGTTTGCCTTCAGCTCAGTCGTGCATCTGCTGCCCTGGTCTCATTGGTCGCTTGGCTTTGCGTCCCCTGCAGCCCCTCTGCCCATGAGTGACACTGGTGTCCTTGTCCCCAGGTGCTCTGCCTGGCCGTGGCCGTGGGCCACGTGAAGATGACCGAGGATGAGCTCGTCTACAACATCCACTTGGCCATCAACTTCCTGGTGTCCCTGCTGAAGAAGAACTGGCAGAACGTGCGTGCGCTCTACATCAAGAGCACCATGGGGAAGCCCCAGCGCCTGTATTAACCGGGCGACAATAAACTTTTAGGCTACCTACAGCCGTGCGTCCGCTTGTGCTTCCCGCGGGCTGCCGGGGAAGGGAGGGCCGCTCCAGAGCCCCGCGGTTCCGTACAGCAGGAAAGATCTCGAGTGTTGAGGGGATGGAGGGACAAGCTTGGCTGAAACTCCAGGCTTGATCGGAATTGGCTTTTTTTGAGTGGCCGGTTCCTTCGGGGTGACTCCCTGCCCAGCTGGGCCCCGTCACCACGAGGGAGGCTGAGGAGCCCTGTGCGGCCACGGGGGTTTGGGAGGAGGCAGAAGGGCCGTGACGTTCACAAAAGTGGGGGACGGGGATGATGGCCGGTGCAGGGATACGGGGATGAGGGTGGAAGGAGGGCGCAGGGAGCTGAGCAGAGGCTTCATAACGTTCTCATCAGGCACAGCTCAATCCCCGCTTGTTTTGGGGTTAAAAATGAGTTTTGTAGCATCCTGTAAGTAAATGTGGAAAAAACCACACCATGCAATGCCTGGTGAGCTCGCGAAAGGCCATAGGATTCAAGCTCCTGCGAGACCTGCGCCCTTGCAAGACGCTGGCCCCGGCCTCTGAGGGGATAAACAACAAAAGCAGCTGTGGATCCCGCTGTTAGGAACCTTAAACGTAAGTGCCAGAGCCAGTTTCTGAAAGATCAACACAACACCAAGAAATTCCATTTAATAATTAAAAAAAGACAATACAAAATGCAAACATTTCTTTTTACAAAGTTCAGATACATTTTTTTTAATCAAGTGCAAATAACTCCATGAACTACATCTTTCCCATTACTTGAATCGTTTTGCCGAAGATGGTAAGTGGTGGCCTGCTGCAAAAGGCAGATATAAATATTCCAACATGAAAAAAGCAGCAACCCTCAGTTCTGTTTACTACGCTGAAACAATTCAATACATCAGAGAGGTGCCTGGTGCTGCTTTCAGCCTTTCAAACCTTTTCCAAGTCTAGCGGGGCGGGAATGAAGAAGGATTTAATTGCAGTGGCTCTTTCCAAAGGCCCCATGACTTATTTTTTTATTATTTTCTTTGAGACTGGCAGTGAAAGGAGGGAAAAGGCTGTTCCCAGATGGGGCTGTTTGTACCAGGCGGCTGGAGGGAGGTTTTGCTGCCTCCCGACCGCAGGCGATGGGAGCCCTGGACAACCGCAGGGATCCGAGCGCTCGCGTCGAGCAGCAGCTCCCTGTGGCTGTAACCGCTCCTGCACCTCCAGCTGCGAAAAGGAGGCCGCGTGGCTGCAAAAGGAGCATTTTCGGGAACAGAGCTTGTAGGAAAGAGCCCTTGAATGGCACAGCTAGAGGACAAGCCGCCCGCAGTGACACCCGGTGCCACCGCGTTGGCGCACGGCCGAGCTGCGCGGGGCCCGGCAGCAGCGGGAGCGCCGATATCAACCGGGAAGAACGGAGAAACGGCTCCCCGTGCGCGGAGCGCGTCGTGCCGGGGCCGCCGCCGCGTGCAGCCGCGTTACTCACTGCTGCTCCGTTGTTTCTGACTACGAAGGAGCCTCTCAGCACTCGCTGCTCTGCTGCAGCTGCCCCAGAGCAATCAAAGTCCCTCCCCAATCCCTGCAGCAGCTTTTGTGCATCAAAGCAGCTGCTTCCAGACCAACCGAGCGACAAACATCTCGGCCCCCGGATGTCAAACTTCCAAGCGGGCCTGGAGCCGGGCGCAGGAGGGGGAAATCCGCGGCTGCTCCGACTCAGCGCAGACTTTTCCAGCGAACGCGTCTTGGGGACGAACCTCAGCTCCCTCCTGCGGATCCAGCGCGAGCTCCGAGCAGAGCCCGGCGGCAGCGCGGGCAGCTGGAGGAGGGAAAACACGGCCGAGGGGCTGCCCCGTGTCAGCAAGGAGCGACCTGGGGCCCCAAAAGAGCGGGATGCTGGGGGGAATGGGCAGAGCAATAAATAATCATTCGTTACAGGCTCCCGAGGGCTGCGCTCGTCCCAGATGTGCGCAAAGGGCAGCCAGAGCCGAGCGGGGACAGGGATGGAAGGGAGGGAGGGGAACCGCAAGCAGAAAAGCTCTAGACGAGTCGACCACATTTACTCCTGGCAGCTCCAGGTCTTTTAGAGGATCAAGATGGGGATGCAGTCGCAAACGCCGCGAGGGAAGATGACGGCCAAGAGCCGATGGGAGGGCTGGAAAGGGAGGTGAGGCCTGGGGAGCCCGAGGAGGAGGAGCAGCGGGATGAAGGCAGCGGCTTTGGGCCCTGTCCCCAGGTGCCCTGTGTGGCCAGGGCTGTCGGCCAGGGGACGATGCCGGGGGGCGAGGCCGTCTGCAGCGCTTGCCCACCCGCCG